AGATGATTTTGACAGGATGTCTCGAGCGAAACGCTTGTCCCCAGCACGTTCCGTAGCGCGTCCCCTTGGCAGGTCCCGCGATGCGTCCCCATGGCTCGTCCCTTGGCACGTCGCTTGGCGCGTCCCTTGAGACGTTCTGCGTCGCGTCCTCCTGGCATGTTCCCCTGTCCATTAGCTCTGGGGCAGCTACTATGTGTTCAGGCAGCTCGAGCTTAAGATCCAGATCAGTTCGGTCAGGACTCGGATGCAAAGGAGGACTCGATCCACGAGGCTATAGAGCACAATCGCGCCATGGCACATCGCAATTCAGCACGGCGCAGCACAGCACTGATTTCGGCACGGTACATCAAGGTCGATGCACTCAGCATTGCAACTTGGCACGTTCCTTGGCACGTTCCGTGGGGCGTCCTTTGGCGAGTCCCCCTGGCACGTCGCGTCGCGCGTCCCCTGGCACATCCCGTGGCACATCCATTGGCACGTTCCGTAGCGCGTCCCCTTGGCACGTCCCGCGGTGCGACCCCATGGCACGTCCCCTGGCACGTCGCCTGGCGCATCCCTTGGGACGTTTCGCGGCGCGTCCTCCTGGCATGTTCCCCTGTCCATTAGCTCTGGGGCAGCTACTATGTGTTCAGGCAGCTCGAGCTTAAGATCCAGATCAGTTCGGTCAGGACTCGGATGCAAAGGAGGACTCGATCCACGAGGCTATAGAGCACAGTCGCGCCATGGCACATCGCAATTCAGCACGGCGCAGCACAGCACAGCCCTCGGCAGGGTACATCAAGATCGATACCTTCAGCATTGCACTTGCCCGTCACCCAATCAGGTGTCTTTGAAAACGTTGCCATGCGTTACATGTCTAGATTCCTTTCCGGGTTCGTGGGTCGATCATGTTTTGAAATGATGGCATTTCCTTATTGGTGCCTGCACTGATCTTGGTATAGGGGTCGGATTATGCGCCGTGATCGCCCATGTAGTCCCTCCCGCAGGGTCGTGAGCTCATTTGGCCTGTGTGCGGGGTCCTGCGCCAGCGTCGCCCATGGGGCCCCAGGTGATCTAGGAGGAGGAGGGGGAGGAGGAAGAGGAGGAGGATGAGGAGGAAGAAGGAGGAGGAGGAGGAGGAGAAGAAGGAGGAGGAGGAGGAGGAGGAGGGGGAGGGGAAAGAGAAAGGGGAAAGAGAAGGAGGAGGAGGAGGAGGAGGAGGAGGAAGAAGAGGAGGAGTGAGAAGGATGAGGCCGCCCAGGCAGAATCGCGGCCCCAACGTGTGCTCCAGCACCCCCCCTTCAGGCCACTTTGGCACGGGGAAGCAGAGCGACTACCACTTCATCGACCGCATTCACAGCTCAAAGTTGATGGCGGCCCTCGACCAGCTGTCCAAGGAGGCCTCCGGCCGGCCGGTGGGGAAGGTCGGGGCGGAAGGTTTGGGCGGGCGAGTTTGGAGCGGGGGGCGGAGTGTGGGGGAAGGAGGGAGGGGGGGTGGAAGGGGAGAGGGGGGAAGGCAAGCTAGGTGCGATCGCGCCGTATCTGACATCTTACCCCTCCCACGCATCCCCTTCCCGTTCCGCTCAGGTTTCCCCTTGGCGCGTATCATACCGGACCTGGAATTCCAGAAACGACCCGATCATCGAATGCACAATCGGACACGGGGAGCTGCGTACATTGGAGGAGGAGGTGATGGATGAGCAGGAGAATGAACAGGAGGAAAAGGAGGATGAGGAGGGAAGAGGGTGAGAACGAATAGCAGCATCAGCAGCAGCAGCAGCAATAGCTGGAGCAGAAGGAACGGGAGGAGCAGGATGACCTGGAGAAGGCCGAGAAAGGAGGGGGGCGACAACGATGAGGAACGGTTCGGATCCAGAAAAGGGGCCCGCGCGGGGGCGGGAGTGCCACTCCGAACGACGGGAGCAAAGCGCCCATCCTAAAATGAGGCCCACGCTGCAGCGGCAGCACCATTCCGCAGGACCGAAAACGACCAGAGTGTGTACAACAGCGATGTGAAAGAGCACAGTGAGTACGCGGATGGGGGGCTGGGCTATCCCCGGGCCATCTTCGGGGGCATCCCCGGGCCATCTTCGGGGGAAAGAATTTAGGGGAGGGGAAGGGGGAAGGGGGCGCGGAGGGGAGGGGGGAAGGGGAAGGGGCGGGGACGGGAGAAGGGAGGGGGGGGGGAAGGGAGGGGGGGGGGTGAGGGAGGGGGGGGGAGGAGGGGGAAAGGGAAGCTCGAGCTTAAGACCCATATCAGTTCGGTCAGGATTCGGATGCAAAGGAGGATTCGACCCACAACACTGTAGAGCACACTCGCGGCATGGCAACAACCCAGCCCTCGGCACGGTACATCAAGATCGATACACTCAGCAGTGCAACCTGGCACGTTCCTTGACACGTTCCGTGGCGCGTCCCGTGGCGAGTCTTCCTGGCACGTCGCGCGGCGCGTCCCCTGGCACGGCCCGTGGCACGTCCATTGGCACGTTCTGTAGCGCGTCCCTTTGGCACGTCCCGCGCTGCGTCCCCATAGCACGTGCTCGAGCTGAAGATCCAGATCAGTTCGGTCAGGATTCGGATGCAAAGGAGGACTCAGCCCACAACGCTATAGAGCACACTCCCGGCATGGCACATCGCAATTCAGCACGGCGCAGAACAGCACAGCATTCGGCACGGTATATCAAGATCGATACATTCAGCATCGCGTTTGCCCGTCGCCCAATCAGGTATCTTTGAAACGTTGCCATGCTTTGCGTTCTATATTCCTTTTCCGGTTTCGTGGGTCGATCATGTTGGTTAATCACCCAGGACCCCCCAGAAACGAGGTCTAACAGGGTGTTGATTTGTTGTTTTCCCGGAAAGGGCTCGAGCCCAGGGTTTTCTTTTAGCTGTTTACCCCCGGATTCGACGGCTGTAGGGCCGGCGAAATTATTCTGCGATGAATTACGTGCGGGAGTAGGGCCGGCGGAATTATTTTTGAGGATGTCCCTAGCGAGACGCTTGTTTTTCCCGGAAAGGGCATGGGCCCAGGGTTCTCTTTTAGTAGGTAAACCTGTCCCCCGGTGCCAACTTGAGGGAGGCCGGCGAATTTTTTCCCTGATAAATAACGAGGTCGAAGGAGGCCGGCGAATTAAAATTTGAGGATGTCTCGAGCGAAACGCTTGTTTTTGAAATCCCGATCGATAAATCACAGGGTGCGGGCCACTTTTTCCCGGAAAGGGCGCGGCCCAGGGTTCTCTTTTATAGGTAAACCTAGTCCCCCGGTGCCTGCTTGAAGGAGGCCGGCGAATTTTTTCCCTGATAAATAACGAGCCGGCGAATTGCCGGCGAATTTTTTCCTTGATAAATAACGAGCCGGCGAATTGCCGGCGAATTTTTTCCATGATAAATAACGAGCCGGCGAATTAAAATTTGAGGATGTCTCGAGCGAAACGCTTGTTTTTGAGCGCCGGCGAATTAAAATTTGAGGATGTCTCGAGCGAAACGCTTGTTTTTGAGGCCGGCGAATTAAAATTTGAGGATGTCTCGAGCGAAACGCTTGTTTTGCACTCCCCAGCACGACACCCCAGCACGACCACACCCCAGCAGGACCCCAGCACGACCACACCCCAGCACGACCACACCCCAGCACGACCACACCCCAGCACGACCCCACCCCAGCACGACCACGCCCCAGCACGACCACGCCCCAGCACGACCACGCCCCAGCACGACCACCCCCCAGCACGACCACACCCCCAGCACGACCAGCACGACCACCCCCCAGCACGACCACCCCCAGCACGACCACACCCCAGCACGACCACTCCCCAGCACGACCACACCCCAGCACGACCACACCCCAGCACGACCACACCCCAGCACGACCACACCCCAGCACGACCCCACCCCAAGACCACGCCCAAGAAAGACACACACGAGCACGACCTCACCACAGACCACACCCCAGCACCCAGCCCCAGCCACCACGCCCAGCACGACCTCACCCCAGCACGACCACGCCCACACCAGCACCCACCCCGCACGACCACGCCCCAGACGACCACACCCCAGCACGACCACACCCCAGCACGACCCACCCCAGCACGACCCCACCCCAGCACGACCAGCACGACCAGCACGACCACCCGCACGACCACCCCAGCACGACCCTACCCCAGCAAGACCACACCCCAGCACGACCACACCCCAGCACGACCTCCACAGCACGAGCACGACCACGCCCCAGCACGACCACGCCCCAGCACGACCACGCCCCAGCACGACCACCCCCAGCACGACCACCCCCCTAGCACGACCACCCCCCAGCACGACCACCCCCCAGCACGACCACACCCCAGCACGACCACACCCCCAACACGACCACACCCCAGCACGACCACACCCCAGCACGACCACACCCAGTCGCACCCCCGTGGAATGTTTCGTGGGGTGTCTGGTTGAGTGGTTGCCTGTTCGTGGGGTGTCTCGTGGAATGTTTCACGGGGTGTCTCGTGGAATGTTTCGTGAGGTGTCTCGTGGGTTGTTTCGTGAGGTGTCTCCTGGGATGTTTCGCGAGGTGTCTCGTGGGATGTTTCGTGAGGTGTCTCGTGGGATGTTTCGTGAGGTGTTGCCCCGTTGGGTATCGTGAAAACGTGCCCATGCTCCACATGTCTATATCCCTTTCCGGGTTCGTGGGTCCATCATGTTCGTGTGTTGAGGATGTCTCGAGCGAAACGCTTGCTCCGCAGAGTTTGCCGAGGATGTCTCGAGCGAAACGCTTGTTTTGCAGAGCCGACCGCGACGCGGAAAAGCGCCCCGCGCGAAGGAATTTCGATGATGTCTCGACTAATTCCTTTGTTCCCGGAAAGGGCATCGGCCCAGGGTTCTCTTTTAGTAGGTAAACCTGTCCCCCGGTGCCAACTTGAGGGAGGCCGGCGAATTTTTTCCCTGATAAATAACGAGGTCGAAGGAGGCCGGCGAATTAAAATTTGAGGATGTCTCGAGCGAAACGCTTGTTTTTCAGAATTTTTTGAGGATGTCTCGAGCGAAACGCTGGTTTTGCAGAGTTGGGGATGTCTCGAGCGAAACGCTTGCTCCGCAGAGTTTTGCCGAGGATGTCTCGAGCGAAACGCTGGTTTTGCAGAGCCGACCGCGACGCGGAAAAGCGCCCCGCGCGAAGGAATTTCGATGATGTCTCGACTAATTCCTTTGTTTTTGTACGATTTCCTGGAATTTTGGCAGGATGTCTCGAGCGAAATGCACGACCCCACCCTAGCACGACCATACCCCAGCACGACCACACCCCAGCACGACCAGACCCCAGCACGACCCCACCCCAGCACGACCCCACCCCAGCACGACCATACCCCAGCACGACCACACCCCAGCACGACCCGACCCCAGCACGACCCTACCCCAGCAAGACCACACCCCAGCACGACCACACCCCAGCACGACCTCACCACAGCACGACCACACCCCAGCACGACCACGCCCCAGCACGACCACGCCCCAGCACGACCCGCCCCAGCACCCCCCAGCGACGACCACCCCCCAGCACGACCCCCCAGCCGACGCACGACCACACCCCAGCACGACCACACCCCAGCACGACCACACCCCAGCACGACCACACCCCAGCACGACCCGATCGATAAATCACAGGGTGCGGAGCACCCCAGCACGAACCCACCCCAGCACGACCCCACCCCAGCACGACCCCACCCCAGCACGACCACGCCCCAGCATGACCACACCCCAGCACGACCACACCCCAGCACGACCACTCCCCAGCACGACCCCACCCCAGCACGACCCCACCCTAGCACGACCACACCCCAGCACGACCACACCCCAGCACGACCCCACCCCAGCACGATCACACCCCAGCACGACCCCACCCCAGCAAGACCACACCCCAGCACGACCGCACCCCAGCACGACCTTACCACAGCACGACCACACCCCAGCACGACCACGCCCCAGCACGACCACGCCCCAGCACGACCACGCCCCAGCACGACCACGCCCCAGCACGACCACCCCCCAGCACGACCACCCCCCCAGCACGACCACCCCCCAGCACGACCACCCCCCAGCACGACCACACCCCAGCACGACCACTCCCCAGCACGACCACACCGCCTTGGTTGAGTGGTTGCCTGTCGTCGTGGAATGTTTCGTGGGGTGTCTCGTGGAATGTTTCGCGGGGTGTCTCGTGAAATGTTTCGTGAGGTGTCTCGTGGAATGTTTCGTGAGGTGTCTCGTGGGCTGTTTCGTGAGGTGTCTCGTGGGATGTTTCGTGAGGTGTTGCCCAGTTGGGTATCATGAAAACGTGTCCATGCTCCACATGTCTATATCCCTTTCCGGGTTCGTGGGTCCATCATGTTCAGATTTTTGAGGATGTCTCGAGCGAAAC